TGTCAGTTGCAGCTCCTACAATTGCATCTTCTTTGGATGCAAGGTTTCTTAGTGGGTTGAAGGAGGAAAGGGTTGAAGCTGCAAAACGTTTTAAAGCAGGGGGATTTGGTGATATCTTGGCCAACCAAACTGTGGACAAAGCAAAATTGATTGATGATGTAAGACAAGCTCTCTATGCATCCAAGATATGCAGTTATGCTCAGGGGATGAAACTTATTCGTGCAAAGAGTATTGAGAAGGGTTGGGACTTGAAGTTGGGGGAACTGGCAAGGATTTGGAAGGGTGGTTGCATCATCAGGGCTATTTTTCTGGATAGAATCAAGAAGGCTTATGACAGAAACCCTGATCTTGCAAATCTTCTTGTTGATCCAGAATTTGCAAAGGAAATCATTGAGAGGCAATCTGCATGGCGTAGAGTTGTATGTCTTGCCATCAACTCAGGCATTAGCACCCCTGGCATGTCCTCCAGTCTGGCTTATTTTGACACTTACAGAAGAGAGCGCCTACCAGCTAATTTGGTTCAAGCTCAACGTGACTATTTTGGCGCACATACATATGAAAGGACTGATATGGATGGATCTTTCCATACTGAATGGTTCAAGATAGCCAAACGGCTAACTTATTAAGTATCTCTCCTGTGGTATTCCTCAAAAATCCCGACAAGCATAATAATATCTGCTGTGGACATCATACCCCTGATAGAACTCACACCATGTATTGTTTGGTGAAAGTTTATCTCAGTTGCTTGTCTGATATCCACTTATCAAACCTTGTCTTTGTTTCTTAGCTTTGGCAGATTTGATGCTTTTGTTTTGTATTTGTTCCTTGCAATCTTTCATACTGTGCTGCCTTGTTTTGGTTAATTTATTTCAAAATTTCATATTCTGACCAGTTTGAATGTGTTCGTTGCCTGTTTTAGACTTTTTAATTAGATTTTTCTACCTTTTGAGTAGAGAAGGGGTTTTTTTTGAATGGTCAGGTTGTTTCCGGACTTTTGCATACTACATTAAGGTGCGTTTGGAATTGTAGGTAGGAATTTTTTCTTATAGTTATATAATATTTTTAGATATATATGAATTTAGTAATTTACTTTAAATTATTTTGTTTAAAAGTGATAGAAAAGTTATAATTTTATATATAAAATTAAGAGTTTTATTTTGAAACTTTTTTGATGTAGTTTTTATGGATAATATTTAATATTTAATATAATTATAAAATAAT